CAGCAGCAGGATGGCACAGCCAGAAGGAGACAGCCTTGCCCATGGCGCCTGCCCCAGCATCTTTTGGGGCGCTGCTTTTGGGGAGCAGCGTCTGCTTCGAGTTTCTGCTTTGCTCTGAGCTGGGGACAGTGGGGCAGAGGCTTGCGGTTCAGCTGGGGTCTGTGCTGTTAGCTTTATGTGGCCACCTGAGCCCAGCCCACAGCCAGAGGCTCTCATCAGTGGGGGCCTTGCCTAAGAACCTGCTACATCCGCTGCTTTTGTTGAACCCCCACTGTTTTTCCTGTCCTCTCACACACTGCAGCACACGCTAGTTTTACTTGTATCTCAGCGGCAACATTGTCCCTGTAAAGAGCTCCTGATCCTTGTGCGCACTAGGATTTGCCCTCGTCTGACCACATCACTCTGCTTCTCTTCAATGTCGAGACAAATGATGGCATCAGGGGAACCCTGCAGCAAGGCCAAAGTGATTTCAGAGCTCTGGGGCAGCTGCCAAGGCTGTGGGCAGATTTCTCCTTCATCCTGTTGGTGAATCAGCTTATGAAGAACTCTCAGGGAGTCTCAGCTGGGGCCATACTGCTGCCAGCACAGCACTGTGGGAGCCATCTGCACCCACACTTTGACCCTCATGCAACCACACAACAACCAGGAAAGGCAGAGGCTTCGCCCTGAAGGCACCTGAGCTCCCCCACACTGCTCTCTCAATTCCCTTCCTCGAAGGAAGGCGCTGAGCCAAGGGAAGCAGAGCAGTGGCAGCACATCCCTTGGGCATGCTGCCCCAGCTGCCTTGAGACCAACGGCAGCGGGAGTCTGACAAATGTGTGGGGGTCATGCTCTGAGCATGGGGGAGCAGGCTGGGGACAGCATGGAGCCCAGGAGGACATCAGAGAACCATGGGGACAGGGGCGTATCCAGGCTGTTTATGGAGCTTTTTGTTGGGACAATCCCAGATGCTGAGCAGACCCTGAGCTCGTGTCTTGCTTCCTTGTGTACATGGTGAGCATTAACGACTGAGCTCATGTAGATTCCCAGACAGAGGCTAGTAAAAGTGTGAGGGAGAGCTTGGAGCAGTAGTGACACAGGCCAGGGCCTACTGATATCCCCAGCCATTGTTTTTTAAATGGGCACTGCAGAGTCCCATGTCTCAGCAGAGGTGCTACTGCAGCTACAGGGGAACCCTTGAGGCAGTTCTCTGTCCAGGGTCTGCTGTGGACATAGGGTAAACTCTCCTGAGGGGTAATCACTCCTGAGCCATGCCCTGTATGATGAAGCACACAGCTCCAGCTTCTGCAGTGTCCACATCCCACTGCCCCCACAGCCCTGATCAAGGGTCGTGTCTCACCTGGCACAGACAGGGTCCAAGGAGCACTGAAAGGAAAGCACCCAAACTGACTGGGGACTGGCCATGAGGACACTGAGCATTCCCTTCATTCCCAGGGAAGTCTGTGGTCTATCAGAGCCTGGATCAAAGATATCACCAGGACACTCATCAGCCTGCTATGCTTCACATACTACTATCTACCGACAGTATTGGAGACAGCTGTGGAGGAAGCTGCGTCCTGTAGTCTGAGGGAATGGATAAAGCTTTCAAGGCCTTGGGACGGTTGATGAAAGAGTCTGTAGTACAAGTCCCTTTCTCTTCCCTCCATCCATTCTGGGGTGGTGACATTGTATAGAATAGAAGGATCTGGTCCATAAATGCTTGGCTCCGTGACTGGTGCTACAGGCCCAACTTTGGGTTATTTGGTAATGGCTGATGTTATAAGACACCAGGCCTGAGAAGAATACTTGGGAAAGGTTTATCTCACAGGGTCCAGAGGGTTCTGGGACAGCAATTAGCAGGGCTCTTTTCAAGAGCTTCAAGCTATATCCGCAGGGGGGTGGGGTTGTAGCAGGGCTTGTAGCAGTGGGGCAGTGGCCCCGCAGACATGAAGACCAGGAGGCCTCCCACCCCTCTCGGGGTGAAATCAGTGTGCTCAGCTCCTTCCCTGAAGTGCCTGGACACAAATGCATTCAGCACGTGGAATAAGAAGGAGGAGTTGGAAAACTCTGTTTGGTCAGAAGACTGAGATCTGGTGGCAGTTACAGAGACATGGTGGGACAGCTCACATGGCTGGAATGTGGTCATGGATGGCTATGTCCTGCTCAGGAAGACAGGCCAGCAAGGTGAGGTGGCGGAACTGCTCTTCAAGTCAGAGAGCAACTCCATTGTATTGAGTACTGTCCAGGGGTAGATGAGGAGCGAGTTGAGAGTCTGTGGGTGAGAATTAAGGGGCAGGCTGGCATGGGGGATGCAGTTGTGCGTGTCTGTTACAGACCACTAGACCAGGATGAGGAAACTGACGAGGCCTTCTACAGGCAGCTGAGAACAGCCTCTTGATCACAGGCCCTGGTTATCATGGAGGATTTCAACTACCCTGACATTTGCTGGTAGGCCTACTCAGCCAGTCACCCACATTCCAGGAAGTTCCTTCAGTACTGTTTCCTCCAGTGCATTGATGATAACTTCCTGATGGAAATGGTGAACGTGCCAACTGGGAGAGGAGTGCTGCTAGATCTTGTCGTCACCAACAACAGGGGTTGGTTGATTCTGAATCACAGAATCACAAATTTAAACACCAAGTTAAGTGCATGTGTCGATCTGCTCAAGGGTAGGAAGGATCTGCAGGAGGATCTGGATAGGCTGGAGCGCTGGGATGAGGTCAACTGCCTGAAGTTCAATAAGGCCAAGTGCCGGGTCCTGCACCTGGGGAGAAATAACCCCAAGCAGAGCTACAGGCTGGGAGATGAGTGGTTGGAGAGCTGCCTGGCAGAGAAGGACCTGGGAGTGATGGTGGATAGTCGGCTGAATATGAGCCAGCAGTGTGCTCAGGTGGCCAAGAAGGCCAACGGCATCCTGGCTTGTATCAGAAGCAGTGTGACCAGCAGGGCTAGGAAGGTGATCGTCCTCCTGTACTCGGCTCTGGTGAGGCTGCACCTCGAGTACTGTGTTCAGTTTTTAGCCCCTCGCTACAACAAGGACATCGAGGTGCTTGAGATAGTCCAGAGAAGGGCAACGAAGCTGGTGAGGGGCCTGGAGAACAAGTCCTACGAGGAGTGGCTGAGGGAGCTGGGCTTGTTCAGCCTGGAGAAAAGGAGGCTCGGGGGCGACCTTATCACTCTCCCTAGATACCTTAAACGAGGCTGTAGCGGTGGGGATTGGCCTGTTCTCCCACGTGCCTGGTGACAGGACGAGGGCGAATGGGCTTAAGTTGTGCCGCGGGAGTTTTAGGTTAGATGTTAGGAAGAACTTCTTTACTGAAAGGGTTGTTAGCACAGGCTGCCCAGGGAGGTGGTGGAGTCACCATCCCTGGAAGTCTTTAAAAGACGTTTAGATGTAGAGCTTAGGGATATGGTTTAGTGGGGACTGTTAGTGTTACGTCAGAGGTTGGACTCGATGATCTTGAGGTCTCTTCCAACCTAGAAATTCTGTGATTCTGTGAAGTGGGAAGAGATGAAGTAGACGTCCAAAAGGCTGTGGTGGGAGCCCTTGGGCCCATGCATACAGGCCCAGCTCTGCCTCTGGTGCTGCACTGCAGGCGGGGAACAAGGCCTGGCCGGGAGCCTCTGGCAGGAAAGACCAGGAGAAAGTTAAGGTCATCCTCTTTACTTCTGGAGCGGGGCTGTTGAGGATTAGAAGCCCATTATCCTCCAAATGAAAAAAGAAGAGTGATGGGCAGTCATGCCCAAGAGAGTTGAAGACCAGTGGGTGCAGATGGCTCCCACAGTGCTGTGCTGGCAGCACTATGGCCCCAGCTGAGACTCCCTGAGAGTTCTTCATAAGATGATTCACCAATATTCATCAATGGGATGAAGGAGAGATCTTCCCACAGCCTTGGCAACTGCCCCAGAGCTCTCAAGTCACTTTGACCTTGGTGCAGGATGACCCTGGCACAACTATTTGTATGGAGATTGAAGAAAAGCGGAGTGACCTGGTCAGAAGAAGGCAAAGAACATGGGGAAAAAAGGCAGGAGGGCTTTGCAAGGAAGATGCTGCCCCTGAGACACAGGAAAAAATAGAAAAACAGAGCGTGCTGCAGTATGCGAGAGGACAAAAATAACAGCGGGTCCTCAACAAAAGCAGCGGATGTAGCAGGGGCTGAGGCATGGCCGTCACTGATGAGAGACGCTCAGTGTGGGCCAGGCTCAGGCGGCCACAGCAAGCCCACAGCACAGGTCCCAGCTGCACTGCAAGCCTCTGTCCCACCATCCCCAGCTCACAGCAAAGCAGACACCTGAAGCAGACGCTGCTCCCCAAAAGCAGCGCCCCAAAAGATGCTGGGGAAGGCGCCATGGGCAAGGCTGTCTCCTTCTGGCCCTGCCGTCCTGCTGCTGGTGCTCTGTGAGTTGGGGCATTGCTGGGTGTGGGGGCTGAGGGCTGGAGGGCTGCTGCTGGGGGCAGGAGAGGCCCGTGTTGGGCACAGGGGAGGATGGGGGACAGTGACTGCCGTACAATCATGCTTAACTGCAGGGCAGAGTTGTTTTGGGGAAGGCAGGAGGTCACTGCCCCTCTGTGCGGGGCAGGCATGCAGAACTGCAGGACACGGTTGCGTCTGGGGAAGGATGGATTGGGATTGCTTCCTCCAGCTACGATGCAGATCTGAGAAAGGGGCACACTTCTCCAGTACTAAAAGTTTGTCTGGAGCTTTTGTGTGAGACTTTCAGGATGCTGGATTCCTTAGAGATCCTGGGCACTCATACGGGAATATAAAGCACATCCAGACCAGGCTTGGGATGGTGCCAAGTGTGCAGATGAAGCAAATTGCAATTGGAAATGTGCGGGTGAGAAGTCCCCTGTTCAGGCAGGACTGAGCAATTGGGATGTGAGCAGGGAGGTGGGGGTGAGCTGGGTCTCTGCCCCTCTAAGCAAAGCCGTCTCTGCCCCATGCTGCAGGTGCTGGAGTGACCACCCAGGACATCTGCAGCTCTCCAGGATTGCAGGAGCATGGAGGTGGGTCCCAAAAATGAACGTGTTCTGGGGAAGGAGGTGGGAAGAGAGAAGGGGATTATTCCCTCACAATTCCCCCTGGAAAACCCAGGAGAGCAGATTCTTCCAGACTTGGCATGCAGTTGGTTTTGCCACCCAGCAATCACTAACGCTTGCCTGGGGAATCCCTCTGCCTTCTCTCCAGGTAACGACCAGGCTCCAGTCCTGTACCTCAACAGTTCCAGTGCCAAGGAAGGGGAAATAATTCTCTTTCAGTGTGCCATTGATTGGCAGTTTCCTGCTACGCGAGTTGTCTTCTGCAAGAATGGGCTGGAGGAGTTCAGCCTGAAAGCCCAGCAGGGAAAGGTCATCTATGCTCTGGTCCTGAACATCACCTCCAGAAGTGCTGGGACGTACACATGTGGGTACCAGCAGAGGAACGAGAGCAACTGGGTGAGGAACTCTGCTCTCAGTGCTCCCCAGACCTTGTCTGTACCAGGTGAGACACAGCACCAGGGTGGTGAGGGTAAAAGTTTTCAGAAAACTGCTGAGGCTGGAGCTGTGTGCTGCAGCAGGCAGGGCATGGACTGGGGTGGTTCCCCCTCGGGAGTGTTCCCTCTCTTCAGAGGCAGCCCCTACAGAGGGAAAGCTGCTCTCATGGGCAGTCTCCATCCCTGCAGCAGCAGCTCGGTTGAGGCATGGGGCTGTGCAGTTCCCATGCTGAGAGAGCAAGAGCTGGGGATGTTGATGGACTCTGGGTTGAGCCCAGGATGTTCCAACATCTGCCCTGTACATTGATGAGCCTATGGCAGGGGAAGTGGTGTGATTGTCATGAGACAGGCTATAGCCTGTACATCAGCAACAGTGTGGGATGGTTCCAGAAGGGAGAGCACAGTGGTGCTGGTTTGAGACACAGAAAGCTTCCTGCTCAGCAAGAACAAACAGGAAGAAAAAGGACTCGGGTGTGGCGGTGTGCCAGGTCTTGGCCCCACTAAGAAAAACCCCTTTTGCCTCAAGGTGCAGGTGCTGGTGAGACCACCACTGATATCCACAGCTCCACAGGTGAGGAGAAGTGTTATGGTATGCCAGCTGCATGGGCACGTCCTGCTCCCTGCCTTTCCCCATCACACCCCGCTGCCCTCGCACCCTCTCTCCCCTGGCTCCACATGCCCGGATCCCACACACCGTCCCCACAGGCACGGTGCTGGCAGTGGCGGCCGTCGGCCTTGTCCTCCTGGCTGCAGGCAGCTGGTTTGCCATCAGGAAAGGTGAGGGAGTGGGGGAAAGTGGGGGGAAAGGCTGAGGCCATGGGGGTCCTGCTGCGGGGCTAGTGCAGCAGGAAAGGCAGTGGGGGGAACCTGGGGGTGCACAGCTGGGGCAGACGGTGCCTGGGGGCGATGGCTGTGGGCAGCCCAGCTGGGGAGGCTGCTGAGGGAGCTGGGGACCCTCAGCCTTCGTCCCCCAGCCCCGAGATGGGAGCCAGGGCTGGGCTGCACCTTGGCCTGTGCACCTCAGCCCCTGTTCTTCTTGCAGGTGCGTGCAGAGGGAGATGCCCAAGGTGAGCACCAAGGGCTTCTGGCTGGGGTTTGTTGGAGGTTGTGGGGGGCATGGCAGGGCAGTGGGGTGCTGCATGGCCAAGGGTAGATTTGTCCTTCTGTGTGACTGCATTTCCTGTGCAGAAGGCATGGGAGGAGTGGCTTGCTGTGGGGTGGACTTCAGCTGAATCCTGTAAGGATTATTGCATCATCCATGGGAATGGCCCATATGGCCCTGTGCTTCTTTGTGGCAGTGGTGCTGCAGACCTTCAGGACATTTTTTCTCTCCTCCCTCTGTTCGTCTCCATGGTGCTGGTAGTGCTCAAGACTCTTCTGCTGACCCCAGCCATTTCTGTAAGTGCCAGTCCCTTCTTCACCCTTCTCCTCTAGGCACTGTGTGAAGTGCTGATGCCTTTGCATGGCAAGCCGTAACCATGGGGACAACGGTGGTGGGGAATGGGGAAGCCCTACCTGCTGCGTGTGGCTGGACACTAACTCAGGTTCTCCCTCCAGATGCCAATGTGGATGAGATGGGCAGAGTGAAGGTGTGTTCAGCCCCAGCCCAGCAGTGATGGCTGCAAGAGGGCAGGCTGTTGGAGAGCAAATGGAAGCCAGAAGTGCATCCGATGGCAGGAGCCTGGGAGCTTTGCGTGGCTGTGCTCTGGCTGAATCCCCCTCCTTGCATGCTCCCAGCATTTCCCCATGGTGGGCAAGAGCAAGGCCACTCCTTGTTCTCCCTCGTGTTTTGCAGCTCTCTCAATCCAACTGCTCTCAACACCCACTGCATGCCAAAAGCTGAGCAAGTGAGAGGCGATGCAGCTGGTTCTCTGAGAGAGGCAGAGAGCACTGGGGAAAGCCGTGCTGATCTGCGAGCTCTGAATAAAGCCACCCCAAACAAGAAGCAGCTGGTGTAGTTCTTCTCGGCAAGGTCTGTCTGCAAAGCTGTTCACATCCCTTCAGATCGACACCACCACCCTTTGTGTCTCGGTGTCAGTCTGTCTGCTCCGTCCCATTCCATGTGTGGCTGCATGAGACGGAGGTGGCATCAGGAACACAAAGTCAGAGATGTGTATTTGACATCAACGCAAAACCACATCTGCAGTGCACTCACCGATTGACACACACATGCGATGACATGCCTGCAGTGATATCTGTCCATGTAGGTCAAAAATGGGCATCTCTGTAGGTGGGTAGAATAACACCCCCATGGCATTATAATGCAACTTAGGTGTACACGTCATCCACTGAGCGCAGCAAAAGGTTTTCTTTCATTCAGAAAAAATCAATACGCTCACAGGAAGATTTGGTATAGCTCATATACTTTAGAAGTATTAATGTATTGTAGATGGAGGTGTGAGTCCTACATCGTCTTGGCTAGACACTCACAGCCCTTCCCTGTGACAACAAACCCCTGAGAAGACAAAAGTGCACCCAAAGTCCTCTGCAGGAGAGCAAAGGCAGCCGTGGACAAGGCTCCTGTGCCCTTGCCCTGTGACAGCACTATCAGGTCTGGGTGTGGGTCACCATGGCATATGTCGTGGTGTTTCTCATTTGCTGCACGGGACGAGGCTTTAGGGAGAAAAGAAACCCTGTTACTTCAGCTACTGACTGTGAGCCCTGCACAACGAGTGTGCACCAGGCTGCAGAAGTGCAGAAAGGAGCTGTGCACAGCTGTGCCACGACTCACCCTGTCCCGTTGAACGTGGGCGATGGTGGAGTCTGTGGGGGCAAAAAAAAACACAACATGATCCCTTGCTGCCTGTTGGTGGAGGGCTGAAACTCACACTGACCTTGGTCAGCAGCTGCCTGTGGTCAGCTCTCAAAGCCTGGCCACATTTCGTCTCCCATCACCCTGAACTGGGATGAAGATTAAGCAGCAGCGATGGAGCAGAGATGCTGAGGTTTTGGTGTATTTCCAGCTTTCTGTGGAATCTCCTCTCTTTGCACAGCCAGCACACCTTGCGAGCTGCTCTGTGCAAGCGTGGGTAAACAAGGTTGTGCTGCACCATGAGCGAGGTGCAAGTAGGGTGCGGATATATCTATAGCCTGTCACCCAACCACAACATCCTCCCTTGGCAGCTGCCTGTGGTTTCAGAGCAAACTATAAAATGTTTTCCCCACAAACACAAGGAAAGAGAGCCACATCTTTCATTGCTCCTCTGTCCTTTCAACTACATGAAAACCGAAATCACTTTGAAGTAAACTGAAGAAAGGACAAAAGCAGACGTTGAAGTGGGGCAACTGCAGCCTGGGTCTGGAGCATGTGTGGAAGGACCGCCCAGCAAAGGGGCTTTGTCCCCATGAGAACTGGGATGCTGCCATGTCCCTTGTGCAGCCAGCAGCTGCGCTGTGCATGCAAGGAAGAAGCAGGACATGAGGTGCTGGAGAGAAACCTGGCCTTGATGAATGAGCAGGGATTTTGTTATTCCCAGTGGGAAATGAAGTGGTAGGATTCCATGAGGACTTGCAGAAGATTCTCATGGGGAGAGGAGCATGTGGCTTCCCCCAAGGGAGGAGGTAGTACTCACACTGGATGTCACCATAGTTGGTGTCTTCCGTCTGTGGGCTGTCAACGTGCTGCTGCCTGGAGAGGAATGGAATGGTTCTGGGATGTGCATGTGCTGAGGAGGGATCTTGAGGCTCATGCCCTTTGGTGTTGCTTTCCTGCATTTTTCATTGAACTGGAGGGCAGGCAAAGACAAGCCCCATCCTTCCTGCCTTCTGCACAGGGAATGCCCCTGAACAAGGAGCACCCCAGGGACCTTTCATTCCCCCAACTCCCTCCCGCATACCCCACAGCCAGCAGCCCTTGGTGCTCACCTTGGGCATCTCCCTCTGCAGGCACCTGCAAGAAGAACAGGGGCTGAGGTGCACAGGCCAAGGTGCTGCCCAGCCCTGGCTCCCATCTCTGGGCTGGGGGATGAAGGCTGAAGCTCCCCAGCTCCCTCAGCAGCCTCTCCAGATGGGCTGCCCACAGCCATCACTCCCAGGCACCGTCTGCCCCAGCTGTGCACCCCCAGGTTCCCCCCACCACCTTTCCCACTGCACCAGCCCCGCAGCAGGACCCCCGCGGCCTCAGCCTTTCTCCCTCCTTCCCCTACTCCCTCACCTTTCCTGATGGCAAACCAGCTGCCTGCACCCAGGAGGACGAGGCCGATGGCCGCCACTGCCAGCACCGTGCCTGTGGGGAGGGTGTGCAGGATCCGGGGATATACGGCTGGGGGAGAGATGGTGTGAGGGCAGCAGGGTGTGATGGGGAGAGGCAGGGAGCAGGACGTGCCTGTGCAGATGACACACCCTCATCCTCCTCCTCACCTGCGTGGCTGTGGATATCAGTGATGGTCTCACCAGCACCTTCACCGTGGGGTAAAAGGGCTTTTTCTTAATGGGGCCAAGACCTCGCACACCGCCACACCCGAGTCCTTTTTCTTCCTATTTGTTCTTGCTGAGCAGGCACCTTTCTGTGTCTCAAACCAGCACCACTGTGCTCTCCCTTCTGGAACAATCCCACACTGTTGCTGATGTACAGGCTATAGCCTGTCTCATGACAATCACAGCACTTCCCCTGCCATAGGCTCATCAATGTAAAGGGCAGATCTTGGAACATGCCAGGCTCAACCCAGGGTCCATCAACATCCCCAGCTCTTGCTCTCTCTGCATGGGAACTGCACAGCCCCATGCCTCAGCCAAGGTGCTGCTGCAGTTATGGGGACAGCCCTGGAGAGCAGCTTTCTCTCTGTAGGGGCTGCCTCTGAAGAGAGGGAACACTCCCGAGGGGGAACCACCCCAGAGCCATGCCCTGCCTGCTGCAGCACACAGCTCACAGCCTCAGCAGTTTTCTAAAATCTTCTACCCTCACCACCCTGGGGCTGTGTCTCACCTGCCACAGACAAGGTCCGGGGAGCACTGAGAGCAGAGTTCTTCACGTTGTTTTCCTTGTTCTTTTGCTGGTACCCACACGTGTACGTCCCAGCACTTCTGGAGGTGATGTTCAGGACCAGAGCGTAGATGAGCCTGCCCTGCTGGGCTTTCAGGCTGAACTCCTCCAGCCCATTCTTGCAGAAGACAACTCGTGTAGCAGGAAACTGCCAATCAATGACACAATGAACCAAAAGTGTTTCCCCTTCTCGGGCACTGGAAGCATTGAGGTACAGGACTGGAGCCTGGTCGTTACCTGGAGAGAAGGCAGAAGGATTACCCAGGCAATCGTTAGTGATTGCTGGGTGGCAAAACCAACTGCATGCCAAGGCTGGAAGAATCTGCTCTCCTGGGGCTTATAGGGGGAACTGTGAGGGAATAATCCCCTTCTCTCTTCCCATCTATTTCCACAGGACAATGTCATTTTCGTGACCCACCTCCATGCTCCCGAAATCCTGGAGAGCTGCAGATGTCCTGGGTGGTCACGCCAGTACCTGCAGCATGGGGCAGAGAGAGCTTTGCTTAGAGGGGTCATGACCTCCCGATTTCCCTAAAAGAACGATGCCCCACAGTGCTGCACACCTGCCCTGCACAAACTGTCCCAATCCT